GCATATTACTTTTTTCTTAAATTGGATAATCATCTTTGTGCATAAAACCATGGACAAAAAAATGCTAATTTAACAAACTCAGGTAAGGTCTGCATGGCGGTCTTGCAAACAAAGTCCTAAAGTAACCACAAAGGATAGTCTGAAATTAAAACTTTAACTAAAAGCAGTTATAGTGGGTAGTCACATCCTAGGCTAGTATCTTTCCTGACAAAGAATACTTTAACTTAAAGTTTGCTTAACTGAGCCTATTGTCTTTTTGTGTCTAATAACATACCATTGAAATGTCAAAGTAATTTTCCTTTTACCAGATGCCTCAAAGCATAGGCATCCCTTTGTGGAGACCACAAATCCCCTTATTGTTATTGAGTAAATTGTAGACTGTTAACTATCATGCACCCATTCAAGTAAAAGAAGTATCTTTTATTTTACTTTTTATTCAATCCCAGAGGTTTCCCCTCTTTGCTTTCCCTAATATATATAACTCTAATATGCAAATAGACTGAATGGTGGAACAACTGAACAAATGAACAACCAGTTGCTATGATGTGTGTTGACCACCATGGGCTGCATGCGGAACATGGTGGGTGTTAGCCACAGCGGGATGATGGAGCAGGTGAGCAGGAATGCCAGATCAAGGTGGGGCGCTGTCCGCTGTCATTGGAGCAAGCCTCTGGTGGTTACTGAAAATTCTTTGCTCCTGCATGCCATGGTCCCGCCTGGTGCTCAGGGCGCCAGCCCTGTTTGCACCCACTACTGGTACCAGCGCCCAACACAACTCTCAATCACACCATGCTATCAGTGGGTGCGAACTGCTGCCTGCCCAGACCACCCTTGAGGGCTTCTCCACTCCCCTGCTCCTGAGGGGGACAATTGGAGCCAGCAGTCAATGTTCACACCAGTGACAGCACCAGCCCTGCTCGCAACCACTGCTGGCACCAGCCCCAATACCTCCATCATGGCTGGTTTTGCTCAGTGGATAGAGCATCAGCTTGCAGACTGAAGGTCTTGGGTTCATTCTGGTCAAGTGCAAATACCTAGTCTGTGTGTGTGTTAGAGACAATGAATGTGTCTTTCTCACTTGATGTTTCTCTCTCTCTCCCCCACCCCCTTCCACTTACTCTATAAATCAGTGGGGAAAGGATTGAAATAAATAAATAAATAAATAAATAAATAAATAAATAAATAACCAATAACCTAATTCATATCAAAGAATAGAATTCTAAATGGTCATGGCTTGGAGGCATTTTGGTGAGCATCTTGGTTCAACTCCCTTTTTTCAGAAAGTTGCTTGAGGAGCAAAGAGAGCATGGTACATGCCCCAAGTTGATGCAAGAAATCTTGGCAAAACTGAAACCAAGCTGTAAGTCTCCTAAATCACAACACAACATTCTTCTCATTGCATTGTACTGTGTTGCAGGGTTTAAAAAATGTGAAAAATCCCTATAATTTTATTTTAAACCTTGAACAAAGCCAGCCCATTTTACATCACTGTATTTCAATATAGCAAGCTAGATACTTTTATTACTATTAACCAAATATTTTGTACAGCAAGAGATCTGAAATGGATATACATGATTGTTCATTTTCTGATATTTTGAGCTGTACCTTGTGCTTTGTGTACTTTCCTCTAAGTATGTTATAATTGAAAACATTTAAAAATCATATACAATATGAAAGTAAGAAATCTCCAACTCAGTAAATCAGATATAGTACAAAAATTATTCTCTGATTTGCATGCATGTAAAACTATCTATATATCTGTTGGAAAATAAAATGTTGCATGTTTTATATTTAATTAAAAAATAATTGCATCCACATTAAAATTGAAAGAGTAAAAAGATATCACAAACAATAAGATTGAAGAGGCAATAAATGAGAAATTATAGACTGTAAATAATAAAACCAATATAAGTCATATTGAATCTATGAAGTGGATCTGAAGATGTATTCAGAAGTAAGTGCCTTTTAATACTTTTATCATTTAAAAAGTGTAAGTAAGATAAAGTTACTGATATATTAAGGGGGGGAAAAACATTAAATCCAGAGGACCATTGTGAGAGTGGTGAGGTAAAACAAAGCACTCTGAGATCATGAGGCAATATGATATAAGTTATTACATAGGCCCTAGTATCAAGTGACCTGTATCCAAATCTTAAGTCTATCATATTCATGGCAATATGAAATAAGGCAGGCTATTGAACTTCTTGGAAATTTAATATTCTGATCTAGATAATATCAACTTAGTAAATATTTTTTGTAAAGGGCCAAATTGACAATATTTTAGGTTTTTTGGGCTGCATATACAGTAGCCCCCCTCCTTATCTGAAGTTTTACTTTCTATTGTTTTAGTTACCCATGGTCAACAATGATTTGAAAATATTAAAAGGAAAATTCTAGAGATAAATAATTCGTAAGTTTTAAATTGTGCACTGTTCAGAGTAGCATGATGAAAACCTGCTCCATGCCATCTTGGGCAATTAATAACTTTTACCACTTTCAAGTCTAATTCTTCATGATTCTGCAAATAAATCTGTTGTTTGTCCAACAAATATTTAAATGAGCGCCATGAGCCAAACAGGTGCTTCTGTTACAAAAGTGTGTTTCCTGTGATGCTGGACCTGTGATGTCGGCTGGATCCGGTATTATTCCATATAAAAAATAAAAAATAAAAAGATTCAGGCCCAGAGAATGGAGTATGTGTGGGAAAGGGGGTTTTGATTCCTTTAAAACTGCTGGGTGTTCTCCTACTATGGTTTCCTTAAAACTTGGCTCTTAATTCCTCTTTACCGTGAATGTAGCCTTTCCTTAATTGGATGTTCCTGGGAGTCTCTGTTCTGTGTTACAAATAAATATCAGTTCCCCTTGTGACTTGACCCATCCTTGGCTTTTGACCACAGAAAACTTTCTGCATAACAAGGATGAGCTGTTAGTCCATCTGGGTCACCCCTGGATCCATTATAAGCATGCTGCCATTGAAACAATGAGTTGTGGCCTCAAAATATCCTATCCTCTGTTAAACTGCTATAATTCAGCATTTCAAATAAGGTAAAAAGTATAATCTACTCCAGGAGATTGGGTTGACATGATACATATGCTTTCTCTAACGAGCATCTCTTTTGGCTGTGCAGAAAACAATAACTCACTTTAGAGCCCAGAGAATTGCACATGCTTGATTGGTTGATGTTGGGGAGCCTTGACCAAATCTTTGCTGGGAATAACAGTGACAACTGAGATGTGACATTAATAGCAATAGCCATTCTTTACATATGCACATTGTTTTCAAATGTGCCATCTGTCTCACTTGATTATCACCACAGTACTGTAAGGTAGGCAGGATAAACATTACTATTCACATCTATCATAGGAGGAAATTGAAGCAAAAGGTTTGTTTAGTATCAGAAAACTAGTAAGGAAAAGAACTGAAAGAAGAATCTAGGATTTCTGACTTCTGAGTCACAACTCAGTGGGAGGAAGTCTACCTGTGATCTTGCTTTTGGCTAAAATGGAACTACAAGAATCCTGAGTACCTAGGGTGTCTGAGTAAGGTAGGGATAAGTCTATATGGTTGCTGTTTGGTTCTCTACCTCCAGGATTGACATTTCTGCCTGAACTCTCAGGTTACTTATTAATTCATTCAATAAATATATATTGAGCCTCTAGTATGCTCCAGGTACTGGGAATACAGCAGAGAAAAAACAAACAAGAAACTTGCTCACTTCCTAGAGCTATAGCCTAATGTAGAAAAGATCCATTTGAATAGAAAATTTCCAGAATAATTAAAAAATTTGATAGGTGCTATGAAGGAAAAGTATAAGGTATTATGAAACAGAATAAAAAGGGGACCTATTCCAGTTTGGAAAGGTCAGAGAAGGCCTCTCTAAAAAAGCATATTTAACACATTGAAACCTAAAGAATGAATTAGAAGTCACTCTAAGATTTGGTTGAAGATGGTCTAGCAGTGAGGGGTATACTAAGCAAATTGAACAGCATGGGTAAAGGACCTAAGATAAGACCAAGCTTGGTGCATAAGATAAAGAAAGAAAAGACACATATGTCCAGAGTGAAATGAGTGAAGGGAAATTGTCCCTCCATGTGTTCAAGATAACCAGAAAGGTAAAAAGACCTGAGAGGACAATTTGAATACTAGGCTTTTATTATACAGGATGGTATCCTCAACAACTAGTATTTCACCTTGCACATAGTAGGTACTCCAGAAATAACAAGAAGGTGAACTAATCAGTGTTGGGTTTGTAGCCTCCAAACATTAATCTTCAGTCCTTGGGATTGCTGTCATTGACTTTTATAAGAATGATATTTTTTTGTCCTTTTGGGGGGCCTTTAATTGCTTACAGCATAGGGCAGGATGCAACAAACACCACTATGAGGTAGATGGCATAGAGGTAGTTTATTTGATGTATTTGTCTGCCTTTTGGAGGGGGCTAGCACTATTATCCCACACACTTCACCCAATATAGGTTCCTGTAATCTACACCCTGATGTTGCTACCCCTTACCAAATCATCTGCAAAGACAAGAAGAAAAACCAGAGGTTTTCCCTCCTTGCCTGTAGGATAGTGTTAAGGAAGAAATTTGTCTTTACTTCTCAGACTTCATCCAGTCCTTACTCCCATTAGTTTGACCCCTAAACCCCGAAAAACTCAGCTCTCTTCCTTCTTACACACCTGCCTCTTCCCTTCTTACCATCAGAGAATTCACAAACCCCCCTATCTCTTCCTCCCTCTCTCTCTCTCTCTCTCTCTCTCTCTCTCTCTCTCTCTCTCTCTCTCTCTCTCTCTCTCTCTCTCTCTCAGCAGGTTTATTTTATTCACCACCACAGGTGTACTCTGTTAGTGCATGGTTTAGTCTCTAAGTAGTTGGCCATTTCTTATTAGCTAAACCTTGGAGATTTTGTAGATTGTTCTGAGGTCTCTTGTCTCCCTCTGAAGTTCTGGCTGCCCAGATAGTTACTTGAAGTACTTACTGGGTTAATTCTCTACTTTCTTAATCCTGTTGTGGTACATCTCCATTTTGAATCAGTGCCTTACTCAGCCTGTGATAAAGGCCAAATAGTGTTGGCCTTCTAGACTTAACTGAAGGACTGGGAGTTTTTGGAGAGGCTTTTATTCTTGAAATTCCTGGAAAGGGTCTTTTTACCTTCCTGGTTATCTTGAACACATGGAGGGACAAGAGGATGAGCAAAGAATGGCATTGATTTGGGAGAAAAGTGGGGGGGGGGGGGTTGATGGGAACAGGGACTTCAGGGAAAAGGGTACAGTTCAAGGAGAAGGTATATACCAGACAAAGACCGGGATGTAGTTTAAAGGGTATGGAGCCAAAGGGAAAGAAGAAAGAGCTTGGATAGGGTCATCTCAATTTGCACCTCCCTCAGGATCTGCATGGACAGGTGGCCTTCCTCTTCTGCCTCCCTTTGGTACTTAAAGTTGGGTTTTCCATAGCTGCTAGGTGCTTGTGGTTTCCTGGTCACCCTAGCCATCTTAGTGCCTTCCAGTGATCTACTCCAGGTCTTCCAAACTTTCTACATATGCCCCTCCCCAGAAAAATTAGGAGCCACACCCTTCAGTTTTGTTTGTTCAGCAAGGCTCTACTTTAGGCAATAGTAACACTGGAGGGGCTCAGATCACACATAGCATCATCCTGACATCTCCATGGGGGAGGAGGACAATCTGACAAGGCCAAGATGCTCTGGCGAAAGGAAGGGTGACTTTTCTTAACACCCCTAAAGAACCTTCCAAACTGACCTGTCACCCTCCTTATCTCCCCGTGTTAATGCCGGTAGGTTACATGGCAGAGAGAGAAGGTGTCTCCTCCAAACCTTCCCCCACAACCATTAAATTCAGAGGCACATTCTGTTTCCTCTCACCTTTCACCGTTATCAAATTCTTTTTATGTCTTATCTTCAGTATATCCATGGTAATGTGACCATATTTGAGTCTATGTGGAGATATAGATCATCTCATTCCCCTCCCACAAATCCCCACATACACTTTGAAGACCATTTAATTATTGGCCACTAGCAGGGATCTTTTCCATTTCACCTCCTTTTCCCAGTGCCCACATAGCTCTCCTCAGTTTTCTCTTTTTTCCAGTCTGATATCACTGCCTTCAGTCAATAACCTTGCTCTGATAGATACCCTAGTCTTGTTTGAAATGTGGGGTTCTTGCTCGTGTTAGTAGGTGTACTCCACAGGCTTAGGTTTTTCACAGTGTATGATAGATGAGACAGATACACAAATGCTGCAAGTTGTGCTCGGTATGTTCATGTAGAAAACTACAACCTAAAACTGATGCATGTGCCCAGGAAGGGGCTTGGCTTAACCTCTTCTCAACAAGTATCCTCACCCCCAAGACACTTTTACTTCCTTATTTTACTGCTGGCACTGTTAGCATCCCAACTCCTTTCCTTCCCTGAGGTCTTCTGGAGAAACATACCTTACCCTTCAAAAGAGAAATCATATTTTTCAGGCAGTTCTCACTGATAACTGTTCTGTAATGTATTTGTAATTTTTATATGTTTATGGGAATAGGAGAGCTCAACATTTTCCTACTTCAATATATTGATTGAAAGTCTCCAATAGGTCTTTTTCACACATTTGATTACACTGAATTTTAGCTCAAACAAAAGGGAAATCATATTTTTCAGCATTGGAAGAAAAAATTCTCATTGCTTTATAATGATCAATTTCACTTCCCAAAGTTTTCTTTTAATCCTGTGAAGACATGAAGATATTTCCCAAACCAAATCCTCCTGAAAAATATTGCATAAAAGTACAGGGAGATAATGGTCTTTAAATGAGGAGGGAAATGAAGAACTTAGTTCTAAACTTGCCTATTCAAGAGATGATTGCTACAGAAAAGAAGTCGAATGATGGCAGAGAGTTGCTACTTTGCTTTGAAAATGTGAATGCAAAGTAATGTTACGGTACTATCGATGCTATTACTTTTGTCATTGAATCCATCAAATATTTGAATTGATTGTTTAATTGGTCTGCCACTATATCAGCCTTAAAAAGTAGGCAAGCTTAGAGGAGGGAACCAAGATGGCAGCATAGATAAACACCTGTACTCGCTGCCTCCCACAACCACATCAAAATTACAACTAAAATATAGGATGACCATCATCCAGACCTGAGGTCTGTAACTATGGGCTGTAAAAACCAGTGTGGATTGGAGCTCAGTGACACAGAGGCTGCTGGAGACCCAGCTGTTCCTCTTAAAAGGCTGGCACCATGAATTGAACTTACAAGGAGCTCTAGCACCAGGCCTAGGCTCTGGGGGACACATTTGTCTGGCATTGGGGCAGGAACTTGGGGGCAGCTTTCTCCCAAATGGAAGTACTTGCAGGGATAATTGTGCTGGGGCCTCCCTGTTCTCAGGGCCCACTGGCAGCCATTTCTGTTTGCTCCACCCAAGTGATTCCCTGAGGGCCCACCTCATTCAATTTACAACTCCACCCAAACTGCCTGCAGTGGCTTTACATAGCAATGGCCTGTCCTTGAAAATATCAAATTACCTGCAGCTGGGTCAGGGAGCCCCAAACCTATCAATAAAACACCTTACACCTGTTAGAGTGGACATTATCAACAAGACAAGCAATAACAAGTGTTGGAGAGGTTGTGGAATAAAGGGAACCCTCATTCACTGCTGGTGGGAATGTAGACTAGCACAACCACTATGTAGCTTTCCAGTTTTCCCAGCATTATTTATTGAAGAGGCTTTCTTCTAATTAGCATATTATGCTCTTATTATCGATATTATATATTGAATTGTAGGTGCAAATGAAAAATGAGGAAGTTAAGCTAAGAGATGTTGCTTTAATATAATAGGTCCAATGGTATTTTTTCATAGTAAAGCAGGGAAACTGACAGATTTTAACATTTTCTTGTTTGACTTTAACATTGAGTCATCACAATGATGAGGTTTATGTATCCAGAGATATGAAATGCCAGAGGCAATAAAAAATATTGACACTATGATCAGTCTTTTACATTGTTTTGTATGTGTGTTTTTAATATATTTTATTGATTTTTTACAGAGAGGGAGAGGAATAGAGAGTTAGAAATATCGTTGAGAGAGACATCGATCAGCTGCCTCTTGCACACCCCCACCAGGGATGTGCCCACAACCAAAGTACATGCCCTTGACCGGTATCGAACCTGGGACCTTCCAGTTCACAGGCCAACACTATCCACTGAGCCAAACCGGTTCAGCAGTCTTTTACATTGTTAAGCATTCTTAAAAACTATAGGGATTGGTTGCAATAAACTAAATAATGACCAATGACATAAAACACTGGGAGAACTGCAATTTAACTATCTTTACTTCATTACCCAAGGTTCATTGAAGAAAATAAAACCATAATTCAATTGTCTCTAGATGTAGAAACTAAGATCCAGGGAGGAGAAGGGACTTGCCCAAGTCAATAGCAGAAATGAGACTGCAACCCAGACTTTTTGGGCCCTAAGCCAGTACTTCGTAAGCCCTGCTCCATCCATAAGTCATCAAGGAGCACCTTCTCTTATTAAGGGTGAATTAATTCTAGCACATGGCTAATCAAAATTTATTGAGCCATCAATGTCTGAAATAAAAAGCTCAGCTTTATTTTCTTTTTAATGAAACTATTAAAAACACCATTTGAGAGAGCATTGTTTATTTGCAATATCTCCTACTGCTAAACTTGATTTAGTGTTAAAACAGAGAGACCTAATCTTACATAAATCTCAACAGTAAATAATTCAAGTTTCAAATCAGATAAGGCATGAATTCAACTTCTAGATTTGTGTTTCTTTCTGTAATTGACAATGTAGGATTTGCTTCCATTTATACAGGGAATAGTGTTTCTTACCTGTAAATAAATAAATGTTTGAATTAAATACTTCTCAGTTCTCTTCTGCTTTGAATCTTTTTTAAACAATCAGAATCCACAACTTTCTCAAATTCAAGCAGACATTTCTTTTTGTTTGCTGAAGTTTATTTTTTTTTAATTTCTATGTGCAGGTGGAAGAAATCCATAGAGTTTTGAAGTCTGAACTGTAAGTGAAGTTTTATATATTGAAATTCTAAACACTTAAAGATAATATTAGATATTTGGATGCTGCATGGTATTATGCTCAAAACTTGTATGATTTCCCAGGAGCTAATGTAAAGAGAAAATTTCAATCATTTTTCTCATTCTTGCTTCTGGCTTTTCATGTCAGCAAACATTTTCTGATTGCCCATTGTGAGCAAGGCACAATTATAGATCCAGAGATGAGATGTGGAGTTTGGTGGGGGGGGGGGGGGGTGTTACAGGAGCAGGGATGAACAGGTACAGGAATGACTAAACACTGCATTTGCCCTCCTATCACTCTTGATCTATAAAGAGTATTAAGACAGGGACATGTGTATCACTCAGGATGATCAATGGAGGGTGGAAGTATTCCAGGGAAGAGTTTCAAGAGGGCCTCCCAGAGGATAGGGGATGAAACATGGCCTTATAAGAATGGGAGAATTTCAGCAGGCATACCTGAGAGAGCTGGGAGCAAGAGAGTGTGTGGAGGGACCAGCAGCAATGGTACAGAGGTGGAAAAGGGCAGATAAGACTGGGGACTGAATGGAAACAAGGCTATACATCATTGAGCGACTGTATTTGGTAGGTTCATGTATGTAGCAAAGCCATATGGCTAGCTAATTACAGTCACTCATTTCCATGCCTCTGAAGCATTAAGATAAGCTGTAGGCAGCTCGCAGTGCAAGACTGATTTTTGTTACTGTAATCCATCTAGTAGTAGATGGCTTATGAACTATTGTCTAACTAAGCCCCATTGGAAGTTTTTATCAAAGTTAATAATGAGAACTGGGAGCTACAGTGACCTGGGACAGGTGTAGAGCCTTCCTCTGTGTCTGACAAGGTACCATTATCCGTGTTTGCTTGGAACTTTGCAAATTCAAGACAGAGCAGGCCAAGACAATTTGTTTCATTTTGATGGGCCCCATAAGAGTGCTGGGGACCCTCAAGCTGCAAGCCTCTAAAATAACATTGACTGAAAATAAAATAAAATAAAATAAAATAAAATAAAATAAAATAAAATAACATTGACTGATTTCATTCAGAATGTGCAAAGATAGAATCTGGAAGTCTGAGGCTGGGGGCTGTAATTCTCTACAGTTGCTTTCTAATCAAACCCACAGATGCACACTATAGAAAAAGCAAGAAAAGTCTGGTAAATCTGTATAATAGGCAATTTTTAAAAATCAATCCTTCCAGAAAATTTTATCTTTCATTTCCCACTAGGCAATTTTTAGAGGTAATGAAAATGTTCTGAAAGCTGTTCTCTTCTCCACGTGAAACACAGCTATAAACCCATAGCAGGAAGGAACAGACCCAATAAACTGCTTTCATCCACATGCTATTTCCTCACCAATACCAACAGAGTCTATGATAATCACACATTTTGCATTTGACAGTAGTGGTCCAGATTGATTACCACTTTCAGA